TCAGGAATGGTGACTCTTAGAAAAGTATAAGGACCATTTTTATAGATAATTAAAAATCTATAATTTTTGTTAGAACTACTTTTTTGATAAAACTTACCATTTTCGAAAAAAATCTAAAAACGTCAAATTTTGACCTTTGACTCCGAATAACTTTTTTAGCACACATGGTATCGATGGGAACTTCTGACACTTTATTTCTAATGGTGTACCCAAGGTCTCCACCAAAATTTAGCTCTGTCGGAATTTTCGTTATTTCAAATGTTTATTTTGACCGGACTATAATAGAATATTTGGTCTTATTATAAGTACGAATAAAAATATTACATTTATTTCATTTTATTTTAATTAATTGAGCACTATGTATCTTGAAAGCAGCTACGATATTAAAAAATTCTGACTTTTTAATGTCACGAACTTCGATCTAAACTAAATAGTTGTACTGTAATTGCGAAATATATTTGGAAAAGTTACAAAGTAAAACAAGTAGATATAGATCTTTATTACTTAATAAACGGCTCATAATAGAAAAAATACTAATTTTTTATATTCGTCATAATTCAAAATAATTTACCAATTTATTGATCATATTTAAGGCTGCCAATGTTTTAAATAACAAATACATATAATAACACACCTTAGTAGACTTATAAGTTATGTCCGAGTCACTTCTTTAAATATTTAAAATAAAAATCAAATCAAAACGGAACGGAACGGGATGTAACAAACATTAGCAGTATTAAATGAATATTAAAAGAGAAAGTATTCAGTTTATTGTGAGCCACCACAATTTTTAACCCAATAAATTGGCTAACTGAACATGTGGCAAAATGAACACATAGAGCTAATGTACATGTGATCAAGTGGCTAAATGTGGCTAAATGATCACGTGTGGCTAAAAGCGTGTAAAAGTGCGCATATGTCTAAACACACATGTGAATAAATGCGTATGTGGATAATTGCACATAAGGCTAATTGTACATTAAATAATAATGAGTATAAATGTTTTGAAAGTTTTTTTACGTGTATAAATAAAGTATAAGTGCTTCGTTTATACAATTCCCAAATTTCATGGGTTGCTCAATCCACAAAGTATAAGGGTCATAGTTTTTTAGAGACAGTCATCTGCAACCAGGCTAACAGATACAGAAGGAAAATTTTTAAAGTTGAAGAGGCGTGGTGGTTAGAAGTCATCGATGATGACAAAATCTTATGTAGAATAGATTCAAAATAAAATCTCTATACAGGGTGATTCACAACTTATCCAAAAAAATTTGGGAAAAGATGCAGCATGAGAAATGGAATCGATATCGTTAAACAAAATTTTTGTAAAATCCTTATAGTTTTCGAGAAAAAAAATATTGAAGTTATAGTACATTCAACCACTACATAGCTGGACAACTGTAGTCTCTAGCGTCATTCGCCACGTGGCCTCAGCGACTCCGAATACTGAATTCGGATTTTGCAATCGTCGTTGCGATATTTACCTGTTATCTGTGGTGTTTACAATAGGTTTTTAGTAGTTAGTGTCAAAAATGGGTAGTTAGTGTCAAAAATGGTTTGCGTGTACTCGGAGTTGATGGATATCGTTTTAATTTATGGTGAAGCATTTGTGTTATGGTGAAACAAGACAACATTTGTGTTAGTTCGTAGAAACTGAGTACAACGGACCCAAATGTGTTTACACATTGGTGGATAAAATTTTGAACAATTGTTGTAACATCGGGTATGTCAAATGATTTTATTATTTAAAAACACAAATTAATTTTATTAATTAATAAAGGCAAAAGCAGTTGAATTTGCCGATATAAAATAGGTGCGATAAAATTCTATTTACATATTTCTTTCCTTGCGAAAGTTTTTGTCCGTTTTTATCACACCGCCATGCCGGTCGCATTGTACGAGGTCAGGTTTTACAGTGGACCAGTTTCCAGTGCCGTGCAGAAGTGTATTTTTAAATCATTTTCGAACTGCTCTTTTTAATTTTTTTCTTTACAAAATTGTATTTGTAAGGGTCCCCTGTACATCCAGAATTTTTTTTTTTGGATAAGTTCTGAATCACCCTGTATAATCTTGTGAAGAACCAACTAGGGAAACAAACTCAAACAATGACACTGTTGTTGCCGACAGCGGAAATTGTCAAAAACTGCCACTTTTGACACACTTCTAAGTAATAGTACCAATACATTATAAGTGATTGAAATAAATCGTTATAGGCAAGTGAGGTGTTTGACGCACGAACACTAGCTCTCACCTCAACAGTTGCAGTTTTTTTTTTAAGAAAAATTAACTCAAAGAGATATTTTTTTAATTTCAAGCAGTTAGATTTTGATCTTGAAATTATCGTATTCCACGAGTGACTAAAAAAGTTTAGTGATTTGTGAAATGTGATTTTAGTCACTAAGAGCAAACTTGTAAATACATACAAAATGTAACTACAAATCCTCAAAATTTGCTGCTTCATTAAAAGCTTATAGTACAATCAAATTAGTAATAAAAATAGTGGTCAAATAACGAAAATTCTGACAAAGCTAAATTTTGGTGGAGACCTTGGATACACCATAAAGTGTCAAAAGTCTCCATCGATCCCTAAAAAAGTTATTCGGGGTGTTTTATCAAAAAGGTAGTTCCGACAAAAATTATAGATCTTAAAATTATCTACAAAAATGGTCCTTATACTTTTTTTTCTAAGAATCACCATTCCTGAGGTATCGCAATTCTAAAATTTCAAGGAATCACGTTCTACATAATATGCACATATATGCCACGTATATACATAGTCAGGCACTTAACACAAGTAAAAATGCCTATTTGTGTCTCTTATATGTATAAATTATACTATTCTGAGAATATACACTTAAAGAAACTCAGTCCCTTAGTCAATCCCCTCTACCCGCATAGCCTTGAATAACATCTGGCTACAACATATTGTAAAAACTTTTGTAAAAAATACACGAAACAAGAAACAAGTACAATTATCTTGTCCGACTTCAACATCGGCTTCTGCTAATCAACACTTGTATCGAGTATACTATCAAGTTCAGACATGGCTAGGCAATCAACTGAACCCAGAAGACTGGGGTTGGAAATTAATAGATAATACTTTGGAACCGATTCAAACTTTACTCCCACCTAAACACTATTTTTTGCAATTGCAAAAAAGGTTGTAGTGCTAAATGTGGCTGTAGAAGAGTAGGGTTACTGTGTTCTCCAGCGTGTAATAATTGCCAAAACCAGTCTTGCTCAAATGTCCAATTGAATAAAACAGACGGAGATTCATGTGATTTCGATGAAGAGACAGCTGATTCATCTTCATTTGAACAATTTATGAAGATCCAGTAAGAAGAAGAAGAAGAAGAAGAAGAAGAAGAAGAAGATGATGATGATGATGATGAAGAAATCGAAGAAGACATGACTGTTGAAGTCGACTTTGAAGAGTATGAATCAGATTAAAATATCAAAAGAAATCAGAACTACAGTTAAAGTCAATAACCAATATCAATATCAATAAATCATCATAAAGTTAAAAGAGTATTGTCCCTGAAAATTCCGTCCTAACTGTTCGTGGAGTAAGCCTACCGGGGAAACCACGTTAAAAAAACGCGCCGAAGTACACTACCTCACAGGTGGTGTGGAAATGAGTGCATATCATGCAGAACGTGACTCCTTCAACTATTAGAATCGCGATATCTCAGGAATGGTGATTCTTAGGGAAAAAGTATAAAAACCATTTTTGTAGATAATTTTAAGGTCTATAATTTTTGTAAGAGCTACTTTTTTGATAAAACTTACCGTTTTCGAAAAAAATACAATTAACCTCAAATTTTGACCTTTGACCCCGAATAACTTTTTTAGCACACATGGTATCGATGGGGACTTTTGACACTTTATTTAATGGTGTACCCAATGTCTCCACAAAAATTTAGTTCTGTCGGAATTTTTGTTATTTGAAATGTCTATTTTGACCGGACTATTAGCTAGTTTCTTTATTAATTTAGGTGCTCAAAAATTAAATGTACAACAGGTCTTTCTTTCAATTTGACAACTGACACAATTATTATTATATCTACTTGTATGTATGTATGCAAGTTTTTTCAGTTCTAGCATTCATACAAACTAGAAACACTTCCTTATCGCATACAGCCGACTGCCAAAGCCGCGCCGCATCCAACGGCGACCCATTTTAATTATCCAGTCGCGCGAGCCGAGCGTAAACACAAATAAGCGAATTATCGCAACTGCATATCGTTTGTGTACNAGGTTTAAAAAATTGTTACTAACGTTTGCCCCCACATTGGCGCGGTAGACTGCCGTTCCGTTTACTTACGATATCAAAACAACAAAATGAGAAAAAATCAGCTTTGTAGGAATTGGTGCAAAATTTCTGTCGCTGCCTCCCGGACTATAAGTGATTGAAATAAATCGTTATAAGCAAGTGAGGTGTTTGACGCACGAACACTAGCTCTCACCTCAACAGTTGCAGTTTTTTAAGAAAAATTAACTTAAAGAGATATTTTTAAAATTTCAAGCAGTCAGATCTTGATCTTGAAATTATCGTATTCCACGAGTGACTAAAAATGTTTAGTGATCTGTGAAATGTGATTAGTCCTGTAAATACATACATACGAAATGTCACTATAAATCCTCAAAATTTGCTGCTACAGTAAAAGCTTAGCTAGTTTCTTTATACATTTAGGTGCTCAAAAATTAAATGTACAACAGGTCTTTCTTTCAATCTGACAACTGACACAATTATTATTATATCTACTTGTATGTATGTATGCAAGTTTTTTCAGTTCTAGCATTCATACAAACTAGAAACACTTCCTTATCGCATACAGCCGACTGCCAAAGCCGCGCCGCATCCAACGGCGACCCATTTTAATTATCCAGTCGCGCGAGCCGAGCGTAAACACAAATAAGCGAATTATCGCAACTGCATATCGTTTGTGTACCAGCGGAAATTGTTATCGCATAAAATTAAGCGCCATTTTACGTGCACCATGTCAACACACAGAATCGAACAGTTGGAAGTGTGCCATCGAGAGATGTTCGGGGACCTGGTGCTCACCTGTGCTACGTCGACGGGGTCGCCCCCGACGAGGATGATCGAGACGTCCGTTACGTACCCCGTGGAGTACCGGAGGACGGTCTCCATGGACTCCGTGCTGAGGAAGACATCCATAGTGGAGAACGAGAGAAGGAGGGCTTCCGCTTTGGTAGACGAGCTTCTGGTGGACATCTACTACAACATCCACAGCGGTACGACGGACTACAACTCCGCTACGTCGGGGAAGTCCCACAAGAACTCGTGGGTGGAGGTGGTGAATTTGCAGGAGAAAGGTGGGTGACTGCTTTTAGTTTTTCATACGGCTAAGTGGGGTTCGTTTAAAAATTGACAAGTGACATATGGGGCACTTTGTTTTATATGTTTTATTAGAGGACAGACTGGATTAGCCTTATCGCACAGATAAGGACAGGAAATTAATATACTGAATTATAAACGACAAGTCGGATATACGTTTTATTATTAGTATTTTTATTTTGTTTTAAAGGTATTAACCTAACTCAACAGATAAGAATAAAAAATTCCCAAAATCTTATTAAATGAAGCAAAACGCTCTTCGATATCAGAAATCTGGGTAAATAAAATACAGGGTGGCCAAATGAAAACGAAACAGAGCCATTTTCAGGAACTGCGTCAAGATTGTAGATAAATGCTCAGACCCGTCGATTTTAGATTAAAGGGGGACATTCTTTTCTGGTATTTTTGATTCCGCCACTTTCACCCCCAAGAAAGGGTAAGCATCACCCCAAAATATTTAAATGGCATTGGGAGTTGAGTAATATTTCTTTTGAAAGCTCTTACCATTCTCTTTAAAACATACTTTAAATTTTATAATTCCGCCCAATACATTGAAAAAATTTACATTTTAAAATTTAAATTATGTTTAGTTGCTTACTTACTTCTTAGTTGATTAAATGTTCAAACTGATGACCGCCCGCATCCACACAAGAATAAAGATTTTGTTCGAAACGTTCGCGCACATTCCGAAGCATTTCCGGAGTGATTCGACGGCATTTGTCGACGATTCTTTGACGCAAATCTTCCAGCGACGCTGGCTGTGTTTTATAGATTTTACTTTTTAGATATCCCCACAAAACGAAATCAAGGGGCGATAAATCCGGTGATCGTGGAGGCCACTCAATGCTGCCTCCTCTCCCAATCCAATTCCGTAGAAAACGTTGGTCCAAATACTGACGGGCAATTAACGCATAATGCGGAGGAGCACCGTCCTGTTGAAAAATCAAATGATCTTCATCATACTCTGGAACATTTTCAATAATATCTGTCAAGGCAGGGTCAATAGCGTCTTCCAGTAATTGCAAATACATTTGGCCAGTCAAATTACCAGGTAGAAAAAAAGGACCCACCAGCCAGTCACCAAAAATTCCAGCCCATACATTTAATTTTTCCTGTTGCTGTGTATACACCTCGTGAAAGACTCTTGGGTTTGAATCGGACCAATAGCGGCAATTGTGACGATTTACCGTCACGTTAAAAAAAAACTGAATTCATCAGAAAAACAGATGTTAAAAAGGAACTGTGGATCGTTCCCTGCTCGCTCACTCATTATTTCGCAAAATTGCAAACGGCGGTCATAATCATCCTCATGAAGTTCCTGGACTAAATGTATTATGTATGGATGGAATTTATTCTTCTTCAAAATAGTTTCTATGCAAGTTCGATTGATCCCAGACACAGATGCCAGCTGCCTCGAACTTAATGTAGGATTAAGATGAGCTTGTCCCAAAACTGCAACTTCACTAGCTTCGTTAACTATAGGTTTTTCAATTTCTCGTTTTTTATTGGCTACGTTCCCTGTGTCTTGAAATTTTTTTACTAACACTAGAATATACTCCCTCCTAACATGTCGATCTTGATGTTGTTGATTAAATAGTTGAGCTATTCTATTCGCACATTTATTGTTCATAAAGTAAAGCGAAGCGATATCTACCCTTTCCGCAATGGAATAAACCATAGTGTTTAATTTTCAAAAATACAATTAAATAAACTACCAACCAACGCTTCCAAATAATACTAGAAAATAATTTGGAATCTATTAATTTTACGTTCATTGTGTGTGTATAGCATTCATTTCTGTTTTTTCTGCACTTATACCATTGGCGTACTTAACTCGAATGACTGACATTTTTATCGTTACTAATTGTTTGTACATAAGTTTCAACTTTAAAATCAAAATTATTAATAAGTATTGGGCGGAATTATAAAATTTAAAGTCTGTTGTAAAGAGAATTGTAACTTTCAAAAGAAATATTACTCAACCCCCAATGTCATTTAAATATTTTAAGGTGATGCTTACCCTTGCTTGGGGATGAAAGTGTCGGAGTCAAAAATACCAGCAAGAATGTCCCCCTTTAATCTAAAATCGACGGGTATGAGCGTTTTTCTACAATTTTGACGCAGTTCCTGAAAATGGCTCTATTCACAGTGACCACCATTTACTTCAATACATATTCTACATCGTTTTAAAAAAATTCTCCTGACTTTTAAAAAGTCCGTATGGAAAATTTCGAACTGATGCGTCTGCAGAAGTCACAATCCTTTGCCACAACTCGTTCTTAGTATTAATTACTGGCCCTGTGTACACAAGGTGTTCGATGTAGTCCCAAATGTAAAAGTCCATTGGATTTAGATCTGGATTACGACAAAAAGTCGCATAAATATTCATAATTTCATTAAGAAAATATTACATCATCGCTTTCACTCGCGCTATTTTGTTTTTTATGTCCTGGTAACGAGTAACGTCACAGTTTGATCAAGACGACACACTGTAGTACCAATTAGTGCACAAATGCGAAAGTTGTAGCTCTATATTAATTTGAAGTGAAAAATTTTCTGCTTCAGTCGAAAACTTTCAATGCCTCGCCCAATAGCAACAAATTCTTACAGGCCAATGAAATACTTGCTTGTTGTATGACATGGTAACGCCTCAAACAAGTCGTCATTCTCTTAAATCTATGAACGCGCTCTACCCTCGCGAGTAAAATAACACTTATAAAAGCATCGTCTAAATATAAATGGAACTTGTTAGCTCAACAAATCGAGGGTGAGCCTGATTTGGAAGCTAAGTTGAACGAAGTTTCGAAATCAGTAACAGAAATTGGCTTTAGAAATATTACGTTTACATAAAACGCGTGGATGGTAATGTATCGAGAACCAGATAGAAAATGGAATTGCGGAGATGGCACGATTGGAAAAGTTTATTAGCTTTGATGGTAAGGAGCTCTTAGGTCGCTTCTAGAAGCATTAAGGGCGACGTATTTAAAATTATTGACGAGGCGAGGGAATTGTGTCGATATTGGGAGGGTGACAAGCCAAAAAATATGTATTTATGGGCTAATACAGTTCGAAAAGTTGAAAGGTTATAAAATATTGACTCGAATAAATAGTGCTGTAGCCAGGGGGGTCCCAATTGCCTCCTTTATTTAGATGGAGTTACCCAAGTGTTTTTTGTGTATTTTGAGCTGTAGAACACGAATTTTTTGGGTAGAAGTTTGCCCGGATGTCGATAAGTTTTTTATTAACAAAAAACTTGCAAAATACTGAGAACTTAAGTTTTTGGCAAAATAAAAAATGTTCTTGTTCTTTGACCCATTTTAAGAAGAAAATGTCTCTAGCAATTTTTTTGTTAAACGCATAGTTTTCGAGATAAACGCCGTTAAAAACTCGAAAAATGCGAATTTTGCGATTTTTAATTGTTAACAACTTTTGATTGAATAGCTATTTTGTAATTCTGCTGACGGCGTTTGAAAGTTAACGTTAAATACTACAAATTATGAGTAATTGCAGTGTGGAAATTTGTTTTTTCCACTGTTATTTAATAAACGATCTTGACGCGTACTCTTCATTTCTAAACCAAAGAAACGATGAAAACTGAACGAAACATTAACAATTTAATTCGTTCGTTTTTTAATATTATCTCGCTTATTGTTAGAGATGGACCCAACAAACCCTATATGGCTATGCTCGGCAAGGAACGTTCTATTCAAATATGTAAAAATATACAGGGTGTTCCATCTAAATTAACAAAGTTAACATCCGCGGACATTTTGTTTGAACTTCATAAAAAATCGTGCAACTTTTGTATTTCACATTTTTTTTAACTCATAAAACAAAAAAGTTAAAGGAGGGGTCAAAATATAGTGACTCACCCTATACCTACTCGTTTTTGGAATTTACATGATTTAAATTTTCTTGCTTTAGTAGATTCCTCAAAATTTCCAGAATATGAAAAGTTCCAAAAAATCGTTTGATTGTTTATTACAAATGTATCCAAACGTTTTTTAAATAAATAGGTTTAAAACTAACTTACTATTTTATACAGAGACGAACAATTTCCTAATTTAGAAGTTCAAAAAACTATAGAAATATTATACAAACAATTTAAAATAAATAAGTTAAACCAAGTAGGTACTATTTCTTTAATTATTAGGTAAACATATCACTTTGCTTTTTTTCTGTTATTTAATTTTATTATAAATACAATTTTAAAGATATTATATTATTATTAATAATATAATAATAATATAATTTTTTAATTTACGGTTATAATAGGGCTATTGGCGCGAAGATCTTCATAATACAAAAATGAAATTTATTTCTATTTATTATTTGAGAACCGATTAATAAAATAACCAAATAGTTGCGTATTATTTTTTATAAAATCTGAATGAAGATCCTGCTCGTGAACATCAGTTTTTCTATAATATTGTAAATGCATCTGAAAATTTCCAAATGCATTTAGTCGTTTGACCTTGGAAATAAAAAAAAATCTTTCTTGCCCACCTAGTAAAAAAGCTACGTGCCTCACACCTACTCATAATGTCACGAGCCGCCACTGTCCTAACCTTAATTGTATTTTAAGTAAAAAGTATTTAAAAATTAGTCATTTTGGAGTTATAATTTTTTCATCAAAAATAAATTTCCTATACAGCGAACTGCAAATTTCTACGCCACTGAATGTTCTATACCTTAATTATTCGGTACATTGTATTTAAAATTGAATTTGTAGCAAAAAATGTCTATATTTTCTCTTGTCAAATGGCTTTTACATTATTTTCGATAATCAACTGTATGGTAAGTTTATTCCTCTTAAAAAAAAAAGTTTTAATTGGAAATGAAGTCAACATCATTTTTTTTCAATAGATACCTTCAAACCTCTACTAATTTCAACAACACTCGTTACTGTTTCTTTAAATTTTAAATGAAAATGGATACTATACTCTCTTCAATTTTTGAATATCAAATGAGCCCTTAA